CAGTCACGTGGCAGATATTGCTAAAAGGGCCTCCCAAAAGCTGGGGGTGCTATTTCGTACAAGACATCTGTACACACCAAGCCAATGGGCTCTTTCACTAATTTTTGAAATTGGCATATTTGGATAAAGCAACTAAAAACAGAATTTTCTGTATTTTTACTTTTGAAAAATTCATAGTCCTTCTTGAGAAAACAGAAAAAAAAGAAATACCTCCAAATAAAAACCCAGAATTTATTTCTATGACGTCGCAGCTCGCTATTTGACCGTGTTGCCACTAATTGTCAACATTGAAAATTTGTAATAGATTTAATTCTGAAATGTTCGCAAAATTTCATGAAAAGTAGTTAAATTAATTAGTTATGGATTCAAGATTTTATAACATTTTTATTGAAATTATGCTTAAACACAATTTAATATAATTTTCTATGTTTAGTTTTATTTATTTATTTTACGTTGCACTACATTTAGTCACCACCGACAACAGCGCATTCGAACCTTTACCTGCATTTACTACAGGATAAATACAGCAGAGGCGGACAGCTGTTTGCAACAACAAGCGAAATGAAAAATATTTATGCGACGTCAGCAAATCGGCGCGTTTTTAAATAATTCAAATTTTGGTAGTTTAAAATGCCTGTAAAAAACTTATTTAACCTTGTAGAACATTTTTTTTTGGTATATGTGCCTAAAATAGTCCCTCCTTTGGGATTTTATACCTAAATTACGTATTTAAATTTTAGTGAAAGAGCCCATTGCTGACACTCTACAAAGCCCAGATTCGACCAACTATGGAGTACTGCTCACATATATGGAGTGCAGCACCCAAACATACCTTAATGCTTTTGAATACCGTGCAAAAACGAGCTATCAAGCTGATCAATGACCCCGCACTTACTCGTAACTTGGATGGTCTCGAACATCGCAGATCTGTGGGCGATTTATCTCTCTTCTACAGGTACTATCACGGAAAATGCTCTGAAGAGTTGGCACGTATAATTCCACCGAGAGTAGCACCTACCAGGCGAACCCGTCAAATAGACGGTAACCATGAATTTACTGTCAAACTAGAGGCACCAAGAACCTCATTATATCAGAATTCATATCTCTGGAGAACAGCATCGCTGTGGAATAAACTCCCTGCGACGGTTTTCCCTGCAGGTTACAACCTGAACCGTTTCAAGACCAACATACACCGACATTTCCGCGCACTTGCCGCTTCTCGAGCGTGATAGGACATTTCCTTGCGAGTGCGCATATCCGTAAAAAAAAAAAAAAATTGTACGCATGCAAATCACCCCTGACTGTCAGTTTTTGCCTAGCTTTATGAATAGTTTTTGTAGCTTCGAAGATGAGAAGGTAAATACTGTCAATATTTTCAAGTCTTTGAACAGTGGTCTGCAGGATGTACGTTGGTCCTTTATAACCTTTAAAATACGGCTTGCCTTTTTTTGGAGCAGGAATACGATTTCCATATTATTGCCAGTTGTAAAGCCCCATACAGTTATCGCATATCGGAGAGGGCACTCGAATAAGGAGTAATACACCTGTTTTGCTGTTTTGTTGTCTATAAATATCCGCGCTGTATTCACTGCGAAGAGGCCTTTTGATAATTTCTTAGATAGAAGTAGAATATGCTGGTCCCACTTAAGGGTTTCTAGAATCGTGACTCCCAGAAATTTGACTTCTTTGACCCTCTGTAGATTTCTGCCATTTACCTCAACAATAACGGTTTTTGCAGAGGTTTGCGTTGAAATTGATTACCTTGCTTGCTTGTGTTCAGAGGAAGCTTGTTCAATGCGAACCATTTTTGTAGCAGTAGCATATCTCTGTTTATATTGTTCTGAAGCTCTTCGGGATTCGCATCGACCCAAGTGATGGTTGTATCGTCTGCAAATAGCGTTATGTGACCCTTAATAGGCAATGAATGGAGGTCGTTTATAAATAGAAGAAACAAAAGTGGACCGAGTGTTGATCCCCGTACAACGCCAATGCTTAATTCTTCAGCTCTTGAGTCCACGGTGCCACTATTTTCTAAATTAATGCGAACTATCTGCTTTCGCTATCTCAGAAATGATCGAATTCATTGGTTTATTTCACCTCTATAGCCATATCTCTCTAGCTTGGCTAACAAGGCACCATGAACCACACAATCAAATGCTTTTTGCAAGTCAAAAAACACTGTTACAACCGATTTGTTTTCGCCTCGCTCTCTGTAAACTTTTTTCATTGTATTGCAGTGCTTTTCTTCTCTTGAAATCCAAATTGATCTTCCCCAATTATGTTATAGACTTTCGCAAAGGAGGTCATACGGTTTTTGACCAGTTTTTCCATAATTTTTGATAATGCAGACAGTACAGAGATCGGTCTGTAGTCAGAGAGACTGATTCCACTTCCTCCCTTATGAATTGGAATTATTTTCAACATTTTTAGGCTATCCAGAAAATCTCCCCTGTCAAAGGAACAATTTATGACATATGAAATTGCCTCAATTATAGGGGCTGGCAATTTCTTGATAATCTTTATGGATAGATCGTCTACTCCTGTTGAGTTTTTGTTAGGAAGAGGGCTTATGATCCTTAGAACTTCCTCAAAGGTCGTAGGAGTCTGAAAGAAACATCGATCCAGGTTTTCTGGGCCCATATGCGTAGTAGTATTTATATCCGGTATTTGTTCTACAATTTTTGTAGCTGCTATGGCAAAATGCTCATTTAACTTAACTGCAACTTCTGATGGATCTTCTATTTCTTCGCACCATCTATGTCAATTTGTCCTTCCCGTTACCTCATTCACGATATTCCATATCTCTTTGACGTGCGAAGATGAATTATGTATTCTATTTAGAAAATACTTATTTTTGGCTGCTCTTGCCACTTGCTTGAATATTCTTTTGTATTTCAGGTAATATTGCTTAATAAAGTCATTGTTAATGTTATGTTTGCTTATGTAGCCAAGTGATCTTTTGTTTCTTGAGGAAATTCTTATTCCTTTAGTCATCCATTTTTTATTTTTTTTGATGTCTAACTTTAACGATTTTTATAGGATAAACTTAGTAGAGTCTATTGAATGCACTTGTGCAGCCCTCGTATAATTGTTCTTGCCAGTTTATACAGGCTAGTTTTTCAGAGAATTTTTGGAAGTTTCTTCCGTTATAGATCCTCATCCTAACTTCTTGGATTTTGTGGTCATATTGCAGTACCCACTCGTCACGTTCTATGCAATGTGAAAATTGTGGGTTAATTTTCTTCGCTTTTCCATCTACAGACGCGTTTCGATCTATCAGATCTCATTGGTGTGGCTAGGAAAGCAAAGAAAACCAACCCAAGTTTAGTGCCTGTAGGCTTAGTAGATGTAATACGAAGAGCAAATTTTGGTCGTGGCGCTATCTTAAACAAGGATTCAGCACTACCCAACACTTTTGCTGTAGCAGTACCTGACCGTCTAATAGGCCAACCAAAAATAAGTTTGTTGGGAAAACCCAAAATAGGGTAAACAAGTTTTCTCGTATTATACACTGATGTGAAAATTTTGGGTTACTTTTCTTCAGACGCGTTTCGATCTATCAGATCTCATCAGTGTGGCTAGGAAAGCAAAGAAACCCAACCCAAGTTTAGTGCCTGTAGGCAAAGTAGAAGTAATACGAAGAGCGAATTTTGGTCGTGGCGCCATCTAAGACTAGGATTCAGCACTAAACAACACGTTTGCTGTGACAAATACTGATCGTCTAATAGGCCGACCAATTCACATCAGTATATAATAGGAGAAAACTTATTTTCCCTATTTTGGGTTTTACCAACAAACTAATTTTGGGCTGGCCTATTTGACGGTCAGTGCCTACTGTTACAGCAAAAGTGTTGTTTAGTGCTGAATCCTAGTCTTAGATGGCGCCACGACCAAAATTCGCTCTGTGTTCTATTCAATGGTGCCAGTATCGGCTGTATCTCATTTTTGAAAATAGTGCCCTTTTGTATGGTCTAATTTTGGATTACCTTCTCCAAAATATTAGTTATTAATGCATCAAAAATTTAGCTTGTGACACTCCGCCACCCACAGAATTCATTTCTGAAGCGATTTTATCCCAAATCCCACCTTACTACACTTACCTACCTAGTGCCAGTGGGCAAAATGTAAGAAGATATGACCAACAAAAAGTAGTTCAAAATAATCTAGGGCTTTTTCGGAAACACACTGATCAGATCAGCTGATATTCTGAGTTTTGAACATTTTTTTAAACAAAAAAAAATTTAAAAAAATTCACTTGTGTAGGAATTATATCTCTATTTCCGAGGCGAAAAAGGGAGAGAGTTAAATTTTAAATTTGTCTAGTTTATTGCTGAAATTGGATGGTTGAAAACAAATTTGACCTAAATTTATAGACAGACAGGATCCTTGTTGATAAAATTAATTACATGTGTTTAGGTGTGTTAATAGTTATTTATACACCAACTGAGTTAAATGAATGTTTATTCATGAGAAGGAAGTTTAACCCACGAGCCCTAGTGAGTGGGTCAATTTTCTTCGCATGAATAAACATTTTAACTCATATGATGTATACAAAATTTTATCCCATTTTGTGGAAATTTGAAAAAAAAAGTAATAGGATTCAAATTATAAAAAGAATTAATTTGGAAGCATGTAAAAGCGGTATTTAATGTTGAAATTGGTGGTTGCTAGGGTATAACTAGTTGTTTGTCTGTATTTGTAGCAGATTTTTATACTGGCAGAGTGACTTAAAAGACCTAGAGTGAGTTAAAAATATTTTAAATCACTTAGGTGATAAACTTCTACTTACCTTTGTTATTACGCGTTCAATAATGTCATTTTTAAACGTCAAAATGGGATATAATACTTAAACGGGCATCATAAGAATTCTTATTTATAGTTCTTATACCATATCTCGTAACTAACAAATAATGAAGTGAAACATAAATGTTATTATTTAGCCCCTAACCGTAAAATATTGTTTTTCACAGAAGGTAATAATAATTATTAATATGCCTCACCTAAAGGTAAACAAGCAGTATAAGAAATATATCCTTCCTCAGCATGAGGTGTTTGAACATAAAGCCAATTTTGGTTCTTAAATATGGCATTCACTACCATACCTAATGGTAGAGAAATTTCTGCTTGATAGCCGCCCACTCTCGTCTGGTAAAGCACACTTGGTAATGCCAAGACAACGGGTATATTTGCGGGTTTATTTAATGTTGCCTAAAAAATAAAAATTTCACTCAATTACACGTAATCAGCTTGAAATTTGAAAACGAACGCTAAATCACTATAACTCACTATCGTGGACGCAAAATACTACCTGTTGGACGGGCTTAATAACACACTCGGGGTATTTTATATTGATATCCCACCCACGATCTGCAATTGCGAAATTCTTTATCGATATTTATTAATCTGTAAATTATATCTTTCGGATAATATGCAGGTCAGAAGGTCGCCGAATTTCAACTTTAAATTACGTATAGGTACAAAATTTGTGAATAATTTTAATAATGTCAGGTACGCAATTTTTGAGTAACTTTATACTCATGCTGAGAAAAGAATCAGATAGGCACTGTCTGAATTATGAAAAAAAAAATGCTTATATAATAATTACGCTTTCAACTTATTTAATAATAACACACATATAATACGGTGCAGCAGCGATATTAACCTGATAAGACATATTATTCATTTATCTGTGTTGCACGTCAAGAAGAAGATCTGATTGTATAAAAATTGCCAAAAATTATTAAATTTTTTGTCGGATATTTTGTACTTTTCTCCGAAGGCGTAGATGTGTCGCATATAATAAAAATAACCCACTTCGACTTCAATGTCGAAATTTTAGTCGAAATTACAGGAGGCTATGTGATAATGATGAACTTATTTATTGTGGTGACAACTTTTAGACATACAATAAGAGATAGGTAGATTAGATTAGATTTATTAAACCAAGATAGCGCAGAAGCTTCTACCAATGCAACCTTGTCACATTTATTTTGGTATCTCCTGTCTGACCCTAGAGTGCGTTGTTCAGACCCGTCCTTCTGATAAGGCTCCAGAGCCGTGCAACTGGCCTCTCCATATACCTTGCCGGTTTGGGCTTCTCCTCGCCAATTTTTGTGAGCCTGAGCCTGCATAACGCTTCGCAATGGCATCACACATGTACGGCAGTTTCTTCCGCCTCCTGGCAGAACCTGCATAACTAGACTCATTCTTTCCAGGTGCTTTTTTGAGTCTACAATGCCCTGTTAATTGACCTTCCATGATCCTTACAACCTTACGGCTTCGGCTCAGGTCTGATGTGAACTTGGGCGAGCAGAATTTAATGAACTACTTTGCCTGTCGTTGTCCGGATGTTTGCAGCCACCAGCTTTGGAGCTCTCCGTCTATCCAGTCCTTAATAGATGTTTTAAGAGGCTTGCTGTGGGTCTATCCTCTCGGTGGCAGAGCCTCCTTTAGCTAAGTCGTCAGCCTCTTCATTGCCTAGGTGGCCCCTCATGGCCTGGTACTCACATTACAGTAAGTTTGTTGAACAAGCCCACCTGCTCTAGGGCATGTATGCAGTCCCTGAACAGTTTGGAGCTGATCTTCTGGGAGCTGATTGCCTTTAGGGCCGCCTGACTGTCCAAGTAAATGACAATGTTTTAACTTTTCACTTCTTTTTTCTTTATCAGTATGACACAGTGCATTATTGCAGCGATTTCCACCTGGAACACCGTGGCGTACTGTCCGAGGCTTATGGATATCTTTACCCTGGGTCTGTCCTCGTAGTGCGTCAGATAGGTTTGCCGTAAACGCTTGCGCGTTCGTGTTTGCCTGTATGTGGGCAAAAATTTGCAAGCATGTATGTCACACAAGCTTTCTGATCTGACCGGAATTCATGCACGCGCAAGCATGTACTTGCATACAAGAGTGTCGGTGTGTGGCCCAGGTTCACTCTTCATTTGCACACATTGTTAGTACAGTGGCTCGTAATCCCACCGCCAGCGTATTTCTATTTTTTTGAAAGTATTTGTTAAGGTCACATAAATCGCGTACGCCGCTGCCAGTAGATTAAATTTGACGTCACTGTTCATCGTGTGCTTTCATACTATTTGTGTGACAAGCTAGTGTGTAGATCTGTGGGTAAAAAGCGCTCTTGTATGCTAGTCTGTGGCCAGCTTGCACATTCAAAAACAGGACGGTATTTTGCATACACATTGATATTTTTGTTTGTGCGTTCATGTTTGTGCGTACAAGTTTTCAGTCATCCACGCCCGAGTGTAACCGCCTTTTCATACTACTTGTGTGACAAGCTAGTGTGTAGATCTGTGGGTGAAAAGCGCTCGTCGTACATGGACGATACCTACACATGTAGACAAACATGTATGACGCACTTGTATGCTAGTCTAAAACTAATTAATTGTTATTTTTCTACAAGCGTGTGGAAATTATAGGGAAAAAATAAATTCAGATACACAAATAACATTATTGATAACTAAAGATGAGTATTTATATAATTCAGAAAATAACAATAACTGATAGGAACAATTTTCATGCGAGCTTAACGAATAATTTCAAAAATAAAAATACGCTGCGGGTGAGATCACGAGCCACTGTACTAACAATGTGTGCAAATGAAGAGTGAACATGGGCCACACACCGACACTCTTGTATGCAAGTACATGTTTGCGCGTGCATGAGTTCCGGTCAAATCAGAAAACTTGGGTGACATACATGCTTGCAGATTTTTGCCTAGACACAGGCAAACATGAACGCCCAAGCGTTTTCGACAAACATGTATGACGCACATGTATGCTAGTCTGTGGCCAGCTCAGAGACGTCGGTGTGCCAGATTTGATGTGCTTTAATTGGAGGGCCTTTCTTGCAGTCTAACCTATCCGGTATGGCGACACGAAAATGCCTGCTAAAGATGAAACGAGGAGTTAATCTATCTGAAGGCATCTCGTACAAGGAGGCGACCTCTTGATCCTCCTATATCTTCCAACTCATAGTCCTTTGGTGTTTTATAATCGGACCTTGGCCTTGTTTGTCTTTAACATACTGCCTTCTTTTTATCCTGTATGTAGATATGTAGCAGCGGTAGGTTCAGCAGCACCTGGGGCAGTTGGGGCCTTTTTCATGGCCCCCGTGATGCATAAGCATGCTAGCGTTCTCATACTTGGAAGCTGTCTGATTGCTACGGTCTGCGTGACCTTTGCTCACCAGGCAACCGAATCGAATGTTATCGTTGGCCTTATCAACATTTTCACAGAAATAGGTTCATCTTTGGATTAATGATTCTCTTTCCTGTCATGTCTAATAAAAGGTATATCCCAATGTTATTTTATTATATAAGGTGTCCCAAAATTGACCAAGAGCTAGGAATTTCCGGAAAAAAAAGGTCGAGAATTTCCCTGAATTATATTTATTTTTGTCTCGAGAGTCCAAAATTACTTCTTCCGCAACTACTACTCGTGCTTAGTCCTATACATGTATAGTCATCATCAGCACTTTCAATAAATCAGGCATCTCCTGATGAGATTTCGACTTCTTGTACATTCTTGGCAATTTTTCATTATTCTTTTCTCAAAAATAATCCCCCTTTCTATTTTTAAAATACAGTATAATGAAGGACCCTATTTTTAGGAAAATTTGTAAAATTTGAAAATTTGTACTAGCACCAACTATCATTAGTGCAGTAAAATAGTACATTAAAATACAAGTTTCATAAAATGTCTTATGAAACGAATATTTTATACAATTTTTTCTATTTTCGTATTGTTTAATTTAAAAAAAAAAAAAAATTTTTCTTGGAAATTTTATTCTCATATTTCCTGATTTCATAGTTTAGGTTGGTAACACTACTTGCCAAATATAGAAATATTCTATTATAAAATCGCGAATGACAGTTCGATGGCCATCAGTCAGCCAGTGTTACCAACCTCCGATAAGTAAAAAAGGAGTGTCACAAAGAGCTTCTTTTCGAAACTACTTTTAGTGTCGAAAAGACTTCGATATGACACCAAAATAGAAAAAAAAAATTATGACATGGGCAAAATTGCAACACAAATGATTCTCTTTGCATTATACTGTGTGAAGGGTCTTTTTTACCATATTCAAAATCCCCATTAATCCCGACACAAGAAATCAGTTAAAATCCAAGTTGGCGGCTGAATTTTATATTTTTCATTACAAAATTTATAACTGTGTATAACTCTGTATTTATAAGGTGTAACTTGGCGAGAATGTTTAAAATATAAAAGTATAAAAAAATAATCATTGACTTTACTTAATATTTTTTTTTTCAAAATGGCGGCGATTTAAATATGTAATTAGGTATTTAGTTTCTAGTTTTTGATGGTTATACATCAGAATACACAATAAAAGATATGACTCATAATCGCCAAACAAATAGAATTTTCCCCTCCGTGAACTTCATACCAAATACATATGACATTCACAGGAGATAAGAAAGTGTTTCTCACTTATAAGGAAAACAAGCAGAAAATAATTATGCTAATCGCTGAAGAAATACAACATGGAATGTTCAGTAATTCATGCAGTTTATGATGCTGATGTTGACATTGCTAAAACTGCAGTGAAATCTTCAAAAATTAAAAATACATCGATAATATGAGAAGGCACTGACCTATTGGTATTGCTGATTTTTTTGTGTAATCAAGCATACCACAAGCTGTTTTTCAGAACTGATAAAAAAAAAAAAACCTTCCAAACAGAATAACATTCAGGATATTAATACCATTAGATATTCGCTCGGGAATGACTTAGCACACAGTATATTCTTTATACATTCGTATACAGGATGTGACAGCACTTCCAGAATATTCCATATTGAAAAGCGATCAGTTTTGAAACGTATTGTTGAAGATCAATACTTCCGTGAACTTGCACTATCGTTCAGCTCAACAAACCTTGATCCGAGTCAGGTTGAAGAATTTAGAAAGAAGATAACGGTATGTATTTTTGGTGAACATCCAGATGATACACTAAATACGCTTAGGTATAGAAATATTATTGATAAAATATCGGAGGCAAAATGTTTCGTTCATCCACAGAACCTTCTCCCAACGGAATCAGCTGTCAAGTACCATAGCCTCTGTGCATATTTGCAAATTTGTATATGGAAACAAAATGCAAGAAGGCTTGAACCCAACAGACTGGGGATGGAGTATACGTGATAATATGTATGTACCAAAAACAATCGAATATCG